TCCTTACAGCTCTTTTCTGTAAAAGAAAAATGGGATTTGTAGTTGTTTTATATGCCTTCCCCCAGATTTCTATACAATAAACTAAGGGCAAGGGCAGAACAACTAATGTGTTATACAACATATACAGTGATTTATCGTTAAATAACTCTCTTACTTTATATAATATTTCAATAGATTTAGCTATTTTTATTCTTAAATTATCTATATGGGCTCTCCATGTCAACTTTTCATCTTTGATAACACCCAGAAACTTTGCTTCACTGACTCTACAAATTTCAACATCACCAACTTTAAATGGAACATCAATAGTTTTCTTTCTTTTGCAAAATATCATATAGTTAGTTTTATCTAATTTTAATGACAGTTTATTGAGATGAAACAAAGTTTGTATTTTAACAAATTCTATCTGCATCATCCCCATCATTCGCTCTATGTCTTTACCCAAACAAAAAAATGTCGTATCATCTGCAAACAGAATGCATTTCAAAAGTTCAGACACATTTACCAAGTCATTTACATACAAAATAAACAATTTTGGTCCAAGTACAGAACCTTGTGGAACTCCACATGTGATGTTACAAAGGTCAGATCTTATATCATTTACTTGTACAAACTGTTTCCTATCCTTCAAATAACTTGATACCCATTGTAGTGCTGGTCCTCTGATACCATATTGAATCAGCTTTCTAAGAAGAATGGTGTGGTCAATTGTGTCAAATGCCTTCCTCAAATCAACACAAACACAAACACAGCATTGCTTTTGATCAACAGCAGTTGTGATTTGCTCCATTAATTCCATTAGAGCCATTGATGTCGACCTATTTGTCCTAAACCCATACTGAGTGTTACTTAAAATTTTTTGTTTATCAATAAATTGATCTAATCTGTGTACAAATAATTTCTCCAAAATCTTTGAAAACTGCGGCAACAGGGAGATTGGTCTATAGTTTGAGAACATGCATTTCTCACCATTCTTATAAAGCGGAATTACCTTGGCCATTTTCATGTAATTTGGAAATATTCCAGTTGAAAATGATAAATTACATACAGTAAACGGCTCAATAACACAACCAATAATTTCCTTTACAAACATCATATCATTTCCACCCAATCTTTTGATCTTTTATCTGCAAAACTCTTAACAACATTTAAAATTTCTTCTTCATCAGTTTCTTTGGTTTTGTATTTAAGAAAGTTAACCACTATGGACCTGGGATTAGCTTCAGGTGGAGGTTTCTTTCCGAGGCTTCTATGAGCCCGCTGGATCTGCAACTCGGTTCCGACCGGTAGGGCTAGCTCACGGTGTAGTAGCTTCTCCACCATTTCTTGGACTAATTCACTGTCTTGTTCAGCCACGTTGTAAATTCTCATGTTGCAGCGCCTGCCGTGTCCTTCCAATTCCGTTAGCTTCTCTTGTTGTTTTCTTTGCTGTTTTAAGAGGCTCAGAATGGCGTCCTTCGTTTCCGTGTTGCACTCTTCCAGCTCTGCTATGCGACCCTGCGCCTCAGTCATGTCCTCTTGTTGTTTCTGTATTTCCGCATCATTCTGTGCCACTTTTTTCTTAATTTCTTCTTTAAAGGCCATAAATTCTCGCTTCACCTCCTCTTTGAACTCGTTTTTGAATTTTGTGAGATTCTCCTTCATCTCCTTTTTAAAGTCACGGATTTCCGCCGTGATATTTTGTAGCCCCTCCAACACGGCCTGTGGCTGATTCGAGTCGCCGCTTTCTTCTTCCATGTGCTCAACTTCGGGGTCGTGTTCTTCTGCCATTTTCTTCCTTATGCTTCTCTGTTTACGTCCTCCACTCATTTCGTGTCTGGTTAAAATTGTATTTTGACTAATGTCCTTGCATTAGGGAGTTTTTTTTTTTTTTTTGTTTCTTCGACAAGGGAGCTCAAACTTATGCTGCCATCTTGCTCCGCACCCACCGGAAGTCCCTTCTTCATCAGTTTCACCAAGAAAAATACTGTTGGCACAACCCACTGTATGCTTTATATTGTCTGCTTTTGGTATTGTCGATGCAACACTTGGACCAGCATTTACAAAATATTGATTAAATTCATTTACTATCTCATTTTGATCATAAATTTCCTTATCTTGCTTTACAAAATACTGTGAAATACTTGACTATCTTATGACTTTTTAAGACATCATACATTATTCGCCACGTTGCTTTCATATCATTTTTACTTTTATATAATAAATCATTGTAATATTCCTTCTTATGTTTTCTTATAATCAATACTAACTTGTTTTTGTATTTTTATATCTCTCTTCCGCTTCTTTTGTTCTCAATTTTAAGAAGCATGAGTACAAATGATTCTTTTTTTTACAAGCATTTCTTAACCCATTGGTCATCCATGGTTTCTCAACAACATTTCTTTTTGAACAGTTTTTTTTTGCACACAATTTTTCTCATACAGAGACCCCAGAATATTCATAAACACATCGTAAGCTCTATTTACGTCCTTAACAAACACATCCTTCCTATTTTGTTTTTTCAAATCATCTTTAAGTTTGTCCAAAACTTTTTTAYATGTGTTTATCCTTTTTTTATCTACTGTATTTGCTGTAACATTACTTAAATAAACTTTACAAATAACAAAAATTGGCAAATGATCACTTATGTCCATCATAAAGATCCCACTCAACACTTCTATGTTTTTATGTTAGTGAAAATATTGTCAATAATTGTTGTGCTATGAGTTGTGATTCTAGTTGGTCTGGATATTAGTGGATGAAGACTCAAACTATACATTGAGTCCATAAACACACCAATGTTATTTGATTCAYATTGATTTCCCAAATCAACATTGAAGTCCCCACACAAAAAATAGTTTTCTTACAACTCATTTCAAAGAGCTCAATGATTTTATTCGAAAATGATTCTATGCTTGAACCTGGTGATCGATATACACAACTAACTATGATAACTAAATATGATATTTTCTAGAGTTCTCATTCAATATTTCCACTGTAATTATTTCCATAACACCATCAACAACTGTTGATATAAACAGAAATATAAATTATGCCAATAAGCCTCTGTTCACTGTTACCTGGTACTGGCATATTTCGATTGGCTGCACTCCGATCTAATGGCTGCAAC